CATATTATAAGATTATAAAGAGAAACAACAGAAAATAGAAGCAGAACGACAGATGATCCAGAAATTGGAGTTATTGGGCAAGAACATTAGCTGTGACTCAGATTAAAGAAAACAGAGGGAAAATGCACAAAATACATGAAAGGACGGAGACGTTTGCTCTTAGTAAATAAGAATCTAAAAAGCTCACTGCACATTCTTGAATGGAAAAATGCAACGTGTAATGAAGAACTCACTGAATGGGTTTAACAGGAGGTCAGAAAAATAAGAATGTGAGACTGGTGAACTGGAAGACGAGTCCAGAGCAAGCGACCATGCTGTCAGGCCACTCCTTTGCTCTGTGGCATCTACGCCTTTGTCCTCCCAGAAGCCAAGCTGTCCTTAGCCACATCATGTCAATGCTACCTCTACCCAAGCATCCTCAGAAGACAAGCCACTTACCCACACCAGACCTCACTTATTCCCAGGCCGTGGGACTCTTCACTTACGGGTAATGATGCGCCTTGCCTTTCTCAGAAACACTTTAAGGCAACCTCACCACAGCGGACATACAATATTTAGGGCCTGTTTCCAAGAACACTCTTTAGTAAGAGCTTTGAGCAGCCAGGAAGAAAATCCAGTTGTGTGGCTGGGACACTGGAGCTGGGCCACCCCTCATCCCTCAGGGACCCTTGGTCTCTTCCCAGAAGCACAGAGGCCTCACCCCCAGCAGAAGACGAGGTGCTCTCTGGCCCTCGGCTGTGCCCTCTAGGAGCTTGGTGCACGCCCTCTGGATGCTGCCCCATCCGCATCCTAACTCAGTTTGCAACCAATGCCTATGCTTCCTCCACTCAAGCCTCTGCTCCTCTCCTCTTGTCTCTTAATCTAATGTCTCAATACTCACAACCAAACCAGCTTGACCTCCAGCAGGTGCCCCAGCCAACCAGAGAGAGATGAGTATCTATGGTCTAGAACATGTTCCAGGTCCTATTAAATGGAATTTAATTACTAAATGGATTTTAATATTATTTATAAATATTATTTGTATATAATTTATAATATTATTTTAAATATTATTGTTAAATGGAATTTAATTTAATTATCCCATATTAAATGCAATTTAATACCAAGGCTCATTAAAATCAACACTAAGCAAATACATTTTCAACAATATTGGCAGGAACATGGACTAATGCATCTTACACACTATTCATGAAACCAGAAGGGGCCTTCTGAGGTCTCAGAACACCAGCACTCGGGCAGATGGGATTACATGAGAAAAGACTGAGTCTCGAGTTCACCTCTTGGGAAAATCCTCTCTTCAGTGCTTCCTCCTGAGTCATCTCAGCAGAAATTGAGCCCTGTGACAAAGGGGTGGAGTGAGACCCAAGGGAGTCTCTCCGATCCCACCCTGGGTCTCGTGCTTCCATAGGTAGTGAGGACCAGCACCAGTGGCCTCGGGAGCAACGTGGTGTGAGGCTCGGAGCAGCTGAAGGTGAAACCATCTTCTCCCAGAGAGGACCTCCAGCCTCCCGCAGAGGTGAAGTGACCTCCCCTTGTGGGGCTGACGGTGGGACAAGAAGTGAGGAGTTTGTCACCTACCTCCGTTGTTTCTCTTGATTTTCATCCCAGATATTCTGAGTCCTTATTTATGGTAGAGAAGGAATAAAGTCCCAAACTGCTCCCTCCCAGACCTGAGGCCTTCACTGTACAAAACACAAAAACAGACAAAAACTCCAAGAGACTCCATGTAAACTGACTCCCTGTCCTGTACGCTGGGGGTATTTGTCACACACAACCTCACGCAGAGATCTCTGGAGCACAGATGTAACCTCCGTTGGTTTCCAGAATAAGGGAATTGATGCCCAGAGAGGCGTGAATGATACCAGCCTCTGATTCAGGAGGACTGACTCGGTTAGACACAGACGTCCTCAGATTCGACATTTGGGGGTTTCCTAGAAAAGCTTCTTACCCCAGGGGCTCCGTAAAGTCAGAAGTTCCGCAGGCCCCCTCCCCCATCCCAGCTGTGCAGGAGGCGGAGACGGCGCCACCAAAGGAAACAGCACACTCGCCAGTGTTTTTTTCTTTGGGGGCCTCTCGTGATACGTTAGCAATATCTTGAACATGTGCCCCATTTCCACAAGGTGTTCATGTTTTCTTTGGGTTCGATGCTGGCTCAGAGTCGACACATCTGTGAGGCAGGTCAGCAGAATTATAGGCTTTTATTTCTACGATTCTTCAACAGTTTTTGGTGGTCCCTGTGGACCATTATACTTTGTTCCTCAATTAACTACCAATTCCTGGGACACTGAGTCTTGTACAGATTTTTTTAATAAGATTTCCTGTTTAATAATCTATTTAAACAGGAAAAAGACAGCGAGAGAGGGAGAAATTGGAGCAAGAAGAGAGTATTGATTTATTTTGCAGAAATACAAGTGTAAAGATCAAAAATATGCTGTGTTTTGTATCAGTTCTTTATGATATGTCCTTTTGATGATTATCGTGCTACTACCGCAAATGGTTTATAAAAGGGACTTTTCTGAATTTCGCACAATTATATTGGTTCACTGGGGACGCCAGTGTTCAGCTTTAGTAGATAACGCAAAAATGTTCTCCAGAGTGGTGGTGCCTGTCTCTCCCCCTGCCCGCCTCCCCAGCAGCCATGCAGGAGACAGCCAGTCGCTCCGCGTTCTCAGCATCACGTGCTGCCGTCTGGATGCTCCAGTGAACCAAGTCCTGCCAGCGCACGGGCGGCACAGTCTGGCTTCAGTCTGCATCACGCTGATGATGATGGGAGTTCAGTCCCTCTTATCCGCTTACTGGCCACTTGGCTCTTCTCTCTGGTATCAAGTCTATTCAGCTTTCCCCTCCTTCGTGGTGGCCTGTCTGCTGTTCTTACTGATTGTCAGGATTCCTTATGTGCTGCACACAGCCCTTCAGTGGGCATTGTGTTGTGAGTATCTTCTGTTCTGTTGGATCTGTCTCCAGAGCCCAGGGACGCTAACCAGTCCCACCAGCCTGTCTGCCTTTAGAAGTTGTTAGTTTCCAGGGGCTTTCTCTTCCCCCACTTCCGTGGCTGCCCCGCTTTGCTGTAGAAACACAGCTTGTCTCCGGGGCTGGTCCAGGTGTGCCGTGCTCGCTGGTGTGCAACAAAGCTACAATTTTGGTGATTACCCAGCTCTGTTGTAGTGCTCAGGTGGGAGTGACACGTTCTGTGTCTTTCTCATCCTCAGTGAAAGCAGGACTGTATATCTGCATGTGTATAAATTAATATAAATATACATTTAAATCTCTCCGAAAATTGTTGGCTATCTAAGATAAAAAGAATAACCATGCATGGTGGGGGTTTCAGTGAATGAAGATGTGAAATATGACAAGTGGACAGTGGGCGGTGCACTAACGGGCAGGGTCGGAAGATCCCTGCACTGAACTCGTGGAGACTTTCTCTGACGAGAGACGGGATCAGGAGGAGGCGCACTGTGCCCTCCGCGCGGGTTCCGGAGAGCAGAGTCCGGGTCACGTCAGCATCCTGGGCTCCAGCACATCTCTCTCCACAGCTTCCCGAGGTGTTGGTGTGGGCCACTTGCCAACTAGATTTCAGGAAAGGTTTCCTGAGAGCGAGGAAGCTGGACTAACCCATGAGGGAACGGAGGCCAGAAAGAGTTTTTAAATTACAAGAAACAAAAGATGAGACGACTCCAGATGATGCTGGAAAATGCTGTGAGGGTGGAGACTGCTGTGCTGCTCCAGAACTCAGAAACGTAAAGGAAATACAGAGACACTTGGTCAATTTCTAGGTTTCTTTAGCAAATTTAAGGACACAAATGAGGAAAATGAGTAATAGTATAGTATAATTTAAGAAAATAAATTCAATGGTAGAATAAAAATGGAAGAGAGTTCGTTCAGTTCTATGACATAGAGGTTTGAGGATTTTTAAGAATATAGGGAAAAAGAAAAATGCGTAGTAACATAGATACTAAACATCATAGGTGATAGACACAAA